AGAGGCCGAGGAGACCCAAAACCATACAAACATGTACATAGCCTCGCCATTCTACAGAGGTGGTAGGCAGAACACCCCACCCCATCTGAGTTCTGACCCTGGAACCCATGAGGGTGTTGCCCCACATGACAAAAGGTACCTTGTAGTCATCACTAAGGTAAAGGATCTCTGCCTCGAAAGCACAAGGTCCCGAGTTTGATCCCCAGTACCAAAAAAATAAAAAAAGAAATGAAGGAACTTTATAGATTACTAACCATCTATGTTGGGGTTTTTTTTGGGGGGTTACCAGGGGTCGAACTCAGGACCTTGCGCTTCTGAGACAGGCATGGTGACACTGAGCTTAATCCTCAGCATTGGTGAAGGAACTTGATAGATATGGGGGACGTTATCTTGGATTATCCATGTGGGTGAGTCCTTAAAATCAAAGAATCTTTCCCAAATTTGGACAGAAAACAGGATGTGGCAAAGGAAGAAGGGACAGAGAGATGCCACACTGCTGGCTTTGCCCAGCGGGGAGGAGCAATGGGCCAGGGAATGCAGGCAGCTTTCTGGAGAAGGCAAGGAGCCTGATTTTTTTTGTCCTAGTGCCTCAGAAGAGGCACAGGGACCTGCTCACACATTGATGTTAACCCAGGGAGACCATGTTGTACTTGCAACCCATGGAAAATACATTTGAGCTGCCTGTGGTAGTGCATGCTTGTAATCCCAGCACACAGAGAGGCTGAGACAGGAGGAGTGTCACCAGGCTGGGTCTCTTGAGTTTCTCAAATTTAATATACCCAGCTGCTACAGATTTACTGACTCCTGTTTCAGAAAAAGAATTTTTCAGGACATGCCAGAAGGAGACATGAGTAGGTTTTATTAGGCAAAGGCAGTGTAGTACACACTGAGAAAAAGTATTTATTATAGAGTGAAGGCAGAAAGTGGCCTTTATTGGTTTTTCTGTTTGCTTCTTGTAGTCCAGGTTGGCCTTGAACTTGCAGCAATCCTCCTGCCTCAGCCTCACAAGTGCTAGGATTATAGGCATGAACCATCATACCCAGCTAACAGCAGCCTTTATTGTAAAGTGAAAGCAAACATCTTCTAAGTTGTTGATCGTGGAACAGTTTTATCTGAATCTCCTGGCTTTTGATTCTCCTGGATGGCTACACCAAAATGTTATCGGGTAGCTCCTTCTAAAAAGCGCTTGCCAATTAAATGTTCTGAATTGCTCACCTCTCCTTCTGGAGTTAGATTCCCTGTTCCAGGCTCCAGATTCCACTTTTTAATTTCATTGTTTGTGCAGACCTCATTTTAGGTATCTGTCTGTCTATCAATATTTGGGTTCCTTCAATCTTTTGGCTATTGTGAATAATGCTGCTATGAATATGGGTGTGCAGATGTCCATTTGAGTCCCTGCTCCTGATTCCTTAGGGTATATACCCCAAAATAGGATTCCCAAATCATACAGTAATTTTGTGTTTATTAATTTATTGTGGTTTTTTTTTTGAGACTGGATCTCTCACTGTAGTCCAGACTGGCCTTGAACTTGCTACATAGTCCAGGCTCAAACTCAAAATCCTCCTGCCTCAGCCACCCAAATTCTAGGATTATAGTCATGGGCCACCACTCCTGACTCTATATTTATTTTTTTATGTATGTGTATATATATATTTATTTATTTATTTTATTAAGTTTATTTGTACATTTTAGGTATACAATACAGTTACATTCATCATTGGGAACCTGTACCTTTACATTATGTATTTAATTTTTAGATGAATTATCCTACTCTTTGCCATAGCAGCTATACTACTGTATAGCCTTCCACTAAATAGTTTTTAATATACAAAGATGGACACATATGCAAGGACATTCACTACAGCACTGATAGTAACCATGAAATATGAGAATCCAGGGGCCAGGGTTTTTGCTCAGTGGTGCTGGCACCTGCCTTGCAAGGATAAGGTCCTGAGTTTGAACCCCCATACCATATGAGAATCCACTTACAGTGGCACATGCCTATAGTCCCAGCACTCAGGAGGCTGAGGCAGGAGAGTTGCTCCCATTCAATGCTAATTGAAAGTCAGCCTGGACTGTATAGCAACACCCTGTCTCAAAAAAAAAAAAATTAAAAAGAGAGAGAGAGGGAGGGAAAGAGATCATTTAATCATTTAACTAAATATAATCATATAACAGCTGGTCGTGGTGGTGCACAACTGTAAACCCAGCACTCGGGCAGCTGAGGTAGGAGGATCGCTGCAAGTTCAAGACCAGCCTGGGCTACACAGTGAGTTCCAGAGCAGTCTGAACTATGCAGTGAGACCCTGTCTCAAGAAAATAAATAAATATAATCACATAAATCTATATACACATAAGAAACCATCTACAGTACATCCTGTTAGGTGAAGTACGGCAGAATGCAAGGGGGTCAGTGGATAGCCTTAATCCCAGGGACTTGGGCCATGCCACTCACGGCAAGACTGGCCCTCCCACCCTCAGCAGTAGCCTGGGCTCTCTGTGGGGCTGGACACTCAGGGGTAACTGTCTGTGCTCACTGCAATGGGCAGGCTTTTGTCCTTGCCATTACCTCTGTTCACCTGAGACAGAAGGTCTTCAAGAGCAACCATGCACACCACGTACTCCAGGTCAAAAGAGCAGGCAAAAAGCCAATGGCTGTGGTTGTATCTCGAGTGATTCGATAGCCCTGTCTGGGCTCCTGTGAACAAGACATTGATTAAAGTCAGATGGATGAAGCCTGGGCTCAGCATTCACCAAGAATATAGTAGAATATTTAGTATCGTTGGCAAGTCAGCCAGGCCTGGCCTTGGTCCTAACAGTAGAAGCTGGTTCTGGAGGGCATGAAGCTCATGGAAGATAGGATTCAGAAACTGGTTAGTTGGGGACACATGACCCTCTCTTTGGACCTTGTGGGCATGGTGTGTTAGGTGCTGACACTACTGGTACATCCAAAGAAGTAGGACTAATGTGACTTGGCTAATGGAATAATGGTGGGGATGGAAACCCCCAGATCTGTGATGAGCATCTATAGAAGCATTTTCTCAGGAGCTGCCCAAACACGTCTATCTACATGACTGAAAAAGCCTCGAGAAGCCATCATTTCTGCCCTTGAACTCACCAGGAGGAATCAGAAAGTAACTGAGATATTTGCGATTTCTGAGCAATTACTCCGGATGTGAGGGCGATCTGGCTGTGACATCTGTCATCCCATTGATCGCCAGGGTTGATTAGGCTGATCTGGCTGGCTAGGCAGGTGTCCCCTTCCTTCCTCACCACCCATGTGCATCCCTTCCAAAGCTGTGCATCTGCTTGGCCCACCCCATAGAGGAGGACTGTTTCCTCTGACAAGGGTATGCAAGTCTATTCCCCTGCTAGAACCTCCAAACAAGCTCTCAAGATCCTGAGCACTTATTCAGTTCACTGTCTTAAAATTGGTGTGCAGAATGTGTAAACAAGGTTAAATAAATCTGACTATTATAACTACACAGTTTTAGCTGCATATGGTGGCACACACTTGTCATCCCCGCACTTGGGAGGCTGAGGTAGAAGGATTGCAGCAAGTTCAAGGGCAGCCTGGGCTACATAGTGAGTTCAAAGACAACCTGAACTACACAGACAAGACCCTGCCTTAAAAAAATCGAGAAGAAAGAAAAAAGAAAAAAAGAACTACAGTTTTGTAACTGATTGGATTTAAAGATTAGGGCTATGAGTACTGTTTTGCTTAGACCTCATTTTAGGTTTGTTTGCTTTTTTTGGGGGGGGTGTTTGTTTGACTTGTAGTAAGGGGATTGAACTCAGGGCCTTGTGCTTTGAGATAGGTGTGGTACCACTGAGCTAAATCTCTGGCCCTTGTGTTGTTTATTTGTTTGTTTTTGGTACCCGGGATCAAATTTAGGACCTTGAACTTTCCAGGCAGGCACTGTGCCATTGAGCTAAATCCCCAGCCCACCTCATTTGTTTTTTTTTGAGACAAGGTCTCACTGTATAGTTCAAACTCCTCAAGCTCCTATGAGTGTCCTGTCTCAGCATTCTAAATGCTGCTGTTATAGGCATGCATCACCACGCCCAGCAAGAATGGATGTTAAAAATGAATAGTCTCAAAATGTCTCTCCATAAGATACTAATTACTCTCAAAGGGGAAAATAATAATTGTATGGTAAAGAAATCACCTTAGCCAGACTTGGTGGTGCACACCTGTAATCCCAGCACTTGGGAGGCTGAGACAGGAGGATCACCTCGAATTTGAGGCCAGCCTGGACTACATAGCAAGACCTTGTCTCAAAGAAAATAATAAATAAATAAAAGCAAGAAAGAAACCACTAATGTTCTCTAGCAACATTGTGAATCCTTGATTTGATACAATGAGAATGAGATATCATTCTCTGATTTTCTGGCCAAAAATGCACATTCTCAACCTAATTCTGAGAAGAATATCAGACAAACCCCAACTGAAACACATTCTGCAAAATAACTAACCAGTAATTCTTTAAAAGTGCCAAGGTCACACAAAAGCAGGCAAACTGAAGAACCAACTGGAGGAGGCAAGGGAGATATGAAAACCAGAATGGGGGACTGGATGGTGGACCAGGAAAGAACACTGGTGGGAGATGTGATGAGAATGGAATCAACTTTACAGATTATAATATCGCACCAATGTTAATTTCTTGATTTTATTTTTTATTTTTTGATCATTGGGTTTTAGTTATACAAGATATCAACATTTGGGGAAGCTGGGTGAAACGCATACAGAAACTTGGTTTCTTTTACAAAAATCTTGTAAGTCTAAAATTATTTCAAACTACAGTCTTTATGTGGTGAAATCCAGAAGGGGAAGTCTAGAGATCAGGGAGCAGTGTCCAAGCTGGGACATGATGGGCTGGGGTGAGGGGTGGAGTGGGGGAGTGGAGGGTTCGCCTCCCCGCCCAGGACAGCGCCCCTTTCCCTGTCGGTGCACCTCATTCCGGCTCAGCTTCCCCTTGGGATTGCAGTGGGGGGAGGGGCAGAAGAGCTGGGCCCAGCCCAGCAGGAAACCTGGTTGAAAGTCCTACGGTCGCTGCCTCTCCTTGGGTCTCTGACTGTGGCTCCCTGGCAGGAACACAGGGACGTGACGTGGCAGGTGACTCGGCTGCTCCTCTTGGCAGTGGTGCCAGCTGCAGGAGGCTGCCAGCCCAGGATTCCATGGGCCAGGACGGACACTCTAAGCCCCACAGGACAAAGGAGGCTGTGTGACCAGGTGAGGCGGAGTGGGGCCTGGGAGGAGGAGGGGCTGATCCTGGCCAGGAGAAGTTAGGGGATGGAGAGGGCAGCTGGGGGGAACGCGGAGGCAGGAGGAAGTCCCGGAGGACCTCGCCATCCCCAGGAGGCCCCCACATCGATAGTAATAGAGGGACCAGGTAGGCAGCCCCCACTTGTGAACCTAGGGCTTTCCTTATACCATGGGCAGGTGGGTGGGGGTCTCCGTGTACACACACGAGGAAATAGTCCAGCCGGGCCAGAGGCACGTGTGGGAATCAAGGAGACAGTCCCAGCCTTACTCATGGGACAGCACAGAGCTCGGTGGCAAGGGAGAAGAGGAAATGTGTCTGCAGCAGGTATGCAAAGGGCTAGGTTCCCCAACCCTCTCCGAGACACTAACAAACCAGAGAGGCCAGGAAGCTTCCCAGTAAGGGGCCTTGGAGGATGAGAAAATTTCCCAGGATGACAGGGTAGGAAAGGGCAGCAGGACAAGAGGACAGCATGTGTACAGGTCAGAGGGCGACTGATGGCAGAGCAGTGCTCAGCCTAGTGTGGCCAAAGCCGAAGATGCTGCTAGCCAAAGAGAAGGGGCTGAGAGTCAGGCGGGTGCAGCACACCTAGGATCCTGCCAGCGCTTGGGAAACTGAGGCAGGAGGATCACCATGAGTTCCTTTGAGGCCAGCCTGACCTACAAAGTGAAACCCTGTCACAGAAAGTGGGGGGAGGGAGAAAGAGAGAGAGAGAGGAAGAGGAAGAAGGAGGAGGAGGAGGAGGAAGGAGAGGAGAGGAGAAAAGAAGGGGCTAACTCCAGAGGGAAAGGCAAGCAACCCAGAACCCAGTCATGTTTGATTGGTGAGACACTTCAGAAGGAGTTACCCTATAACTCTAGGACTGCTTTCCCCCGTTTCCAAAGGTCCAGGTTTGGGCCCCTGTGCCTGCTCTGTTCCCCCACTGCTTTCGGGACCTCACAAGGTCCCCTGTCCCCGAGCTCAAGACCCTGGGGTCAGCGCAGCCCCTTCATGCTGTGGTGGATTCTGAGGTCTTGTGTACAGGGTCAAGCAATGAGTCACAAGCATACACGTGATGGAGGGGAAACAGCCGCAACAGCGGAGAAGTGGATGACAGAAAAGGAACCCTGAACTCCTGCAGATAAATCAGGCTCTTGGGTTGAAGTGTGAGAGAGGAAAAAAGGGCTTGCATGTGCTTTGGTCTGGGCTTATACAGAGAGTCCGGAGTGTCCTAAGCTGGCATCCCAGCTCAAGTGGATAGAGGAGAGTGAGAGAAGGGATGGCCTCAGGGTTGGGATGAGTGAATTGGAGAGATATATGCTTCATTATTTCTATTTTTTCATTTTTTAAAAAACATACTTATATATTCCTTTTTGGTTTTTTGGGACAGGACCTTGCTATGTAGTTCAGACCGTCCTTGAACTCACTATGTAGTACAGGCTGGCCTCGAACTCATGACAATTCTCCTGCCTCAGTCTCCTAAATTCGAGATTACAAGTGTGTATACACCACTACACCCAGCTCATATAGTTTTACAAATATATATACTGAAGCCGGGGATTTAGCTCAGTGGTTCTGCCACCTGCCTTGTAAGCACAAGGTCCTGAGTTTGATCCTTGGTTTAAAAAAAAAAAAAAAAAAAAAAAAAAAAAAAAAAAAAAAAAATGTATATATATATATGTATCTGCATCCTTTTTTCTTTTTCTTTGAGATAGGATCTCACTAAGTTGCCCAGGCTGGGCTTGAATCTGACAGTCCTCCTGCCCAGCCTCCCACATAGCTGGGATTACAGGTGAGTGCCACTGCCCAGCAGGAGTACATAAGTTTGCTATTGCTTTATGGGTTTACCAGTGTGTCTTCCCACTAGCAAAGGAGAGAATATCTGTTTCTACATAGCCTTATCAATGCAGAACAGCCTGAAACTGGCTTTCAGCTAAACTGATGGGGGGGTATCATGCAGTTTTTACTTGCCATGTGTTTTTTTTTTTTTTTTTTTTTTTTTTATGAGGTCTTGAACTCAGGGTCTTTGCACTCAGCTACATCTCCAGACTTTTCTCAAAAAGTTTTTTGTTTTTGTTTTTTTTAGTTTGAGATAGGGTTTTATAAAAGTGCCTAGGCTGGATTCAAATTTGCCATTTTAGCCAGGCATGGTGGCGCACACCTGTAATCCCAGCACTAGGGAGGCTGAGGCAGGAGGATCGCTGTGAGTTTGAGGCCAGCCTGGGCCATATATAAGACCCTGTCTCAAAAAAGCAAAAAATAAAAAATAGAGAGAAAGGAAGGAAGGAAGGAAGGCAGGCAGGCAGGCAGGCTGGGGATGTAATTTAATGGTAGAGTACTTGCCTGTGTGGCCTTAGCTTCAATCCCTAGAACTGCAAAACAAAAAGTGTGCTTTTTAGCTGGGCGTGGTGGCGCACACCTGTAATCCCAGCACTCAGGAGGCCGATGCAGGAGGATCACTGTGAATTCAAGACCAGCATGGGCTACATAGTGAGTTCTAGGTGAACCTTAACTACATAGTGAGACCCTGGCTCAAAAACACCAAAACCAAACCAAACCAAACCAAAACAAAAACAACAAAAAAAGCATGGCTCTTGAGATCTTCTCACTTGGATGTATGGAGATTGTATTCTGTTTGTTTTTAGTTGCTGTAAAATATTCTGTGTTATGTTTGCAGCACACTGAATGTACCCCCCATTTTAGGGAGTGGGTTTTCTGAGAAGCAGGGCCCAGTCATTTTGTAGAACAGCGCCCCGCGCTGTTTCCTTGCCGATAGACTGAGTGTGTGTACTGCTGGCAAGATGCCCCTAAGGAATGGGGGGCACTTGGTGCATCCTAACAGGGCGCAGGGCGGTGGGCTTTCCCACTTGAGTGCAGTTAACTTTGATCTTTTGGCTGAGATCCTGTTTGCCAGATTTCTCCACTACCATTTTCTCCCTTGTAATTAGCATGTTGTAAGGCGAGATTCTGAGAAGTACAGACATCCTAATGTTAGCACAGTTTCACTATCTGATGGACATTTTTTAAAAGAAAAAGAAAGCCACAGGATTACAGGTATTACGTGCCTGTAAACCCAGCACTCATGAGGCTGAGGCAGGAGTATTGCCATGAGTTCAAGGCCAGCCTGGGCTACAAGAATGTGTTCAAGGCCAGTCTGAACTACATAGTGAGACCTGGTCCCAAAAACAAACAACCCCTCAAAATTAATTAATTAATTGGAAAAAGCCAAGTGTGGTAATGAATGCCTGTAATCCCAGCACTCAGGAGGCTGAAGTAGGAGGATCACCTCAATTTCAAGGCCAGTGTGGGCTACGTAGTTAGTATAAATCCAGCCTAAACTACATATGGAGACCCTGTCAAACAAAACAAAACAGACCAGCCTTAATTATATAGAAAAAATTTTTAAAAATATTCTGAACTACACAGAGAGACCTCGTCTCAACCCTGCCCCCACATTTAAAAAAAAATAAATGGAAAAACAAAACCTAAGGCTGGGAGTATAGCTCGGTAGCAGAGTACACTTACCAAGCATGTGTGAGGGCCTGGAAAAACAAAACTGAAACTTAAAATGTCTTATTAAGTGATAGCCCCTTAATCAACTTTACTGTGTTCCCATGATATCGTTTTGAAAAACGCAACTTCAGTGGCATAAAGGTCTTGCTGCTCCTCTTATACCTCATGTCAAGGTCCTTTGTGACCATGTAAATCTCAACCTACATTTTCTCCTTAAAACAACTGCTAACCACCTGACCCAAAGAAGCTATGGTGCTACTGTCTTCTGAACAGACATTTCTTAGAAGAAGTACAAATACAGTAAAGTACAGGAAAAAATGTTTAGCATCTTTGGCCACTAGAAAAATGCAAATCTAAAGCAACACAGAGCTGGGTGTGGCAGTGCACACCTGTAATCCCTGCACTGGGGAGGTAGAGGTAGGAGGATCAATGTAAGTCTGAAGCCAGTTTGAACTACAGAGTGATCACCTGCCTCAAAAAAAAAAAAAATCCTAAAAAAGAATGATAACGACAAGTGTTGGGGAGGCTGCAGGGGAAAAGGAGTCCATGTACACTGTTGGTGGGAGTGTAAAGTGGTACAACCACTATGGAAATCAGTATGGCGATTCCTCAAAAACTAAAAGACATTCTGTGTGACTCAGCTGTTCTCCTCCTAGGTAACTTCCTGAAAGAGTTAAGGTCATCGTATCACAGTGATACATGCAAACCCATGTTTCTAGCAGCACAATTCATAAGAGCTAAATCTCGGAAGAAATCTGCACGTCCATCATCAGATGAATGGATGAAGGGAATGTGGTATTACACACAGTGCAGTACCACTCTGCCATAAAGGACTAATCTGAGTTGTAAGAAAATGGATGCACCTTAAGACCATAATACTAAGCCGAATAAATCAAATATACAAGGTTAAATATCACATCGTTTCTCTTACATGAGAAATCTAAAGACTAAAGAGAAAAATAAATAAACAAATTTATTTATAAATAAGGGAGATGGGCTTTTGCATATGGGAAAGGGATCTGGGGACAGGGTTAGGTGGGGAAGAAAAGAGGAAATAAAAAGAACTGAACTGAGATGTACATATAACAACTCCCTTTGACAAATGTATTTTGTTTGCTTCTTTTATCTATTTGTTTTGAGACAAGTCTTGATATGTAGTTCAGGCTGATCCTGAACTCACTAACTAACCCGAGGTGGCCTCAAACTCACAGTGATCCTCTTGCCTCAGCCTTCCAAGTGCAGGGATTACAGGTGTGTGCCACCACACCTGACATGAATTAATTTGTTGATTTATAGTACCAGGGATTGAACCTTGTGCTTGTAAGGCAGGCACAGCACCACTGAGGTAAATCCCTAGCCCAGTGTATTTACTTTTTAAAAAGTCTTTTCTTATCACATCGTGCTAGTACCCTGGCACAGACATCTATCTACTGTGTTTATGGTCAGGCTCTCCCTTAACAAAGCATGCTCACTTGAAAGCAGGAACCAAGGCGATGGTATTTTGTGCCAGATCCCCAGCACCTGGGTCCAGGCCTGGCCCAGACAGAGGAGGTGGGCAGGAAGTTAAGGAATCCAAATAATCATCTTGTCAGGCAGCAAGTGCAAACAGTCTTGTCTGAGCACAAATGCTGGTCTTGAGGCCAGGTTTGGTGGCGCACGCCTGTAATCCCAGTACTTGGGCTGCTGAGGCAGGAGGATTATTGTGAGTTTGAGGCCAGCCTGGGCTGCATAGTGAGTTCAAGTCCAGTCTGAACTATATAGGAGACTCTGCCTTAGAAAAACAAACAAACAAACAAACAAACAATGCTCTTGATCTACCAGAGGGGACTGGAGTCTGTGGTAAGGTCTGGCAGGGACAGACAAACTCGATAACCATTAACTCTTAGAACTGGGTGAGACCTGATGTAAGAGGACAACAGAACTCCTGGAGGGTGTGGGTAAGGGATGAGGGCAAGGAAGCAGCACTGGATTTATAATCTTCAGGCACCCTGTCAGTTTCTCTCCTGTGGCGAAGGGGTCAGGCTTGGGGTTGGACTGCCTGGTGCGGGCTCCACACCTAAGGGCACAGGCCAAATCAAAAGAGCCCAAGGTTTTCTCCTCCACTCTGAGGCCCCTGCCTGCTTCTGGAAGCCCAGAGCCCCTCCTTGCTGAGTGTAAATGGCCCTGACACCAGTCCGCAAATGACTGCACCACCTTGTCATCCAGAACAGGGCACTGAGGCTTAACCAGGGACAGACGCTCACCCCGGGAGCTGCTCTTGACCCCAACTCAAAACTTCCCTTTGAGGTTACTTATTCTGAAGGACTCAGGGTCCAGGGGCCTGGTGCAGGGGACAAACTGAGCTCCTGCAGTGAAGATATAAAGTCTAGTAAATAGTCAGCCCCCAGGGCAGGGGGATCTGACAAGATACTACCTGCTGAGGTCTTCAGAGGACATCACCTTCCCAGGGTGCCACAGGATTCAAGCGTGGCTCACTGCTGCGTCCAGAGAGGGCACAGGTCAGGAAGGAGCTGGGGTTTCCTGGGAGTCACTCTCTTTGCAGACCCTTCAGGGCTTTCCTCCTTGGCTGGTTTCCTTCCAGAGATTCGATGACCATCTCCTCTGGACCCCCCTTCTTCCCTCCCCTCCTTATGTCCACCCTATGTTGCACACCTGTGGCATTCATCTGGGCATGGAGCCTCTCTCTTCCCTAAACTTCTGCTGTTCATAGCCTGCTGGTTCCTCCATTTAGTTCTAACCTGGACCTTTCCCTTGGTGGTCCATACAGGCACCTAGCAAAACAGCTTTGCATTTCCTCTTTCCTATGTCTGCCTCCTCTCTCTTTTCCCATCAGTGGTACCAGCATGGGCTCACATAGTTCTTATTTATTTATTTTTGGTACCGGGGATCGAACTCGGGTCCTTGAGCTTGCAAGGCAGGGAGCGGAACCACTGAGCTAAATCTGCAGTCCTCACATAGTTTTTAAAAAGAGGAAAAAGGAGAAGGAGCAGGAGGAGGAGAAGGAAAAGAGGAAGAGGACTTGATGACTTCACTGGGCATGGTGGTGCACACCTGTGATGCCAGCACTTGGGAGGCTGAGACAGGAGGATCACTGAAAGGCCAGCCTGGGCTACATTAGCAAGACCATGTCTAAAAACAAATGAAAACAAACAAACCAAGGCTTCTGTCCTTGATTGGACTAGAGGTAGGCAAGGATTCTAAATTAAGCCAGATTCAGCAGTTGTTAAAAGAACACAAGAGACGGGGGTGAATGTCAGGATAAAGGGAGGAGAGCTTGGGTCTTTGAACAGCTGAGACCCCAATCAAAAGACTGAATGTCTGTAATTTTGTGGCTGAGAGCCAGTGACACCAGGGCTGGTGAGGTTGGAGCAGTTGGTGGCTCTGCGCGTTGGGCCCATGGGAACCACCTGCAGCACCTGGCTTGTTAGCCTGTGTTGCGCTTGGCTCTGCCTTTGTTCCATGGGTCCTATCCCCTCAGGATGGGGATGGAGGAAATGGGCAAGATTATCCCAGTGGATCTTGGCAGCTCAGGCTGCAAGATTTTATCAGACTTGAGCTTTTGAGGAAAAAAAAAAAGGTAATGGGATTTGGGAACTAGCCTTTAGGGGTACACTATTTTATTATTTTGTGGTGTGGGGATTGAACCCATGGCCTTGCACATGCTAAGCAAGCACTGTACCACTGAATCACACCACAGCCCGGCCTGCACTGTTCATGCACCTCTCCCACGCCCCCATGCAGGCCCACAGGGGCTCACGTGCAATAATTAACTGCCAGGCAAGCGGCCTTCGCCCGATCCCAGGCTGCACTCCTGGGCTCCATTCCCACTGTCCACCCCACTGCCAGTCTCCTAGGCCACTAAACCTCGGCCGGCTGTGCCTGGAAGAAGGCAAGGCGGTGTAAGCAGAGCAGCAGCTTCAGCCAGTCCCAGAGCCGCCTCCTCTCCCAGGTAAGTCACTTGCCCCGCTTGGGTCAGAAGCTATTACCGCGCCCCCCCACTCACTCCCAGCACGGGGTGAGGTATTTGCTGGAACTGGGAGGACCTTTTACATGCCCAAAGCCCAGGGAATCTAGAGGAGGAGACTGAGGCCCAGAAGAGCGTGGCCTGCCCAGGGTTCAACTGCAAGATGGTGGCCATCCTGGAGCAGAACCCCGGACTCTCACCCATCAGCCCAGCGCTGAGTTCTTAGTTCTCCTACTGGAAGAGGGGGTGAACACTGGTGGTGGATGTCACAGCTGGACTCAGATCTGGAGGTGAGACGAGGGAGGAGGGGAGAGGCTTGCAGAGAGCTCTGGCCAGAGACTACTGACCAGCTGGCAGCGAGCACAGGACTTTCTCAGCCTCCTGCAGCGCCGGAGAGCTGCAGCATGGGGAGATGCAAGGGGTGGAAGCTTGAAGGGTGACGTCCAGAATCACACTTGGGGCGTAGCCCGCAACCAGACCCAGGGGGTTCCATAGAAATTAAATTGGCCAGCACTTGGTGCTGCTTCTCTCCCTCCCTTTAATCCTCAAATGAGAGGAAAGAATTTGAACTCAATTTGTCAAGCAGGGGTGGGGCGAGGGCCGGGCCCGGCCCGGCTGAGCGTCTCTAATCTGCGCTCTTTGCCGCCACACTTTGTTTCCCCCCAGGAGCCGGATCTGCAGACTCTCCCGGTGCTCCGGAAAAGACAGATTTCCCTGGGCCGGCCCCTGAGATTAATGAGTGAGTGATGGGTCGGCAGAGGCAGGATTGCGTCCTGATGGGAACGAATTAGCAAGTGAGAGGATGAGGACCGCAGGGCGGGAATTCAATTCCGGGTTTACGGAGCCCCACTGGGCCGAGTTGACACAGAGACCCACTCAGCTCCGGCTCGAGTGAGAAGCCGGTTCGGGAGGCCCTGTACCAGGTTCCCGGGCCGGCGGGCAAGGCCCAGGCCAGGCAAGCTTGCGGGCCGGAACATCTCCGTTAGCGACTTGTGCGTTGGAAATGGGTTCAAGGAGGAGACGTGGAGCGCTTTGCGGGAAAAGAGTTTGGAACATTTTGCGAGAGCCCGGGTACCTAGTGATTAGGGGAATGAAAGAATCCCTGAGAGCCCCCAAATGTGGGACCCTGACCGCTGTGTAGCCCCTAGTTAGTCAGCATATAGCAACGCAAAATAGAGTGTGCGGGAGCCTGGTACGGGTAAATAAGATAGTGGCTCAAGGCCTCGCCAGAACAGAACATCCTGAGGTCTAGAGATGATCACCGTAAGAGACCAGGCGCGCCCTACACCCGACCCCCTGAGAAAGAGAGCAGAAAACTGACCCCTTGCCCATTTGCTGTGCCTGCAATCCTCTCCCCCTTGCCTTTAAAAGCTGTGCAAACCCCTGAGCTGGCGCCTCGGAGCTCCTTGGCTCCGGGAGTGCCATCTGGCCAGACCAATAAAGGTCTATTTACCAAAAAAGAGCCTGTTTGAGACCGGGTTCGAGGCTCTTGTTACTGAACCGCTGCACCGGTGAAGTCCAAGAGTCCAGGCTCAAGCTTGTAATAAACTCCACGTGTATTTACATCGGACTCGACTCCTTGGTGGTCTTTGGGGATATCGCGATCAGGGCACAACACAGTCACCCCCAAGATTCAGGATCTGAAGTCCAAGGATTAATAGGATGGCTAGAGGAGGACATCCTGTTGATAGCGGTAGATGGCTACATCTACCCCACCGGCCTCTGGGCCAAGTCAGAGTCTCCTGTAGTGCTGCTCTCTTTCAACCAACCACCCAAGTAATGCAGCTGAAAAGGGCCAGAATCAAAGTTTAAAACAACAACAAAACAGTATGGTGGTTTATTCCTTAAATAACTGGGAGGCTGAGGCAGGAGGGTTTAAATTTGAGCCCAGCCTAGGCAATTTAGTAACTTAGTGAGACCTGCTTCAAAATAAAAAAAGGATTGGTGGGGGTGTCGGGGATTTAGCTCAGTGGTTCCACCACCTGCCTTGCAAGTTCAAGGAGCCTAGTTCGATTCTCGGTAATAAAAAATAAAGAAAGAAAGAAAAACAAAAAGAAAGGACTGGGGATGTAGCTGAGTTTGAAGGTACACTGGATTTAAACCCCATTTGGTTCAAAAATTGACCTGAAAATTTGTGTGAGGCTCTATATAGTTTTTATTTATCCCACCAGTATCACATTATTTTTTACTTCAGAACTTGTGCTTGATTGTTGGGTACATATAAATCATATTACCTTAGTTTATATTACCTTTTGTAAAATCCTAAAAAAGAAATTTGTTTTTCTTTTTTGAGATCTAGTCTCCCTATGTTGTCACAACCACACCTGGTAAAATATTAATTTTTTTTTTTTGGTGTGTGTGTGTGTGTGTGTGTGTATGTTTTGAGACAGGGTCTCTACATGTAGTTCCGGTTGGTCTTCAACTCAGGCTAGCTTCAAACTCCTGGTGACCCTCCTGCTTCAGTCTCCCTAGTGCTGGGGTTACAGGTGTGTAACACCACACCTAGTAAAATCCTAAAAAATTTAAGCCCAGAAATATTTACCTCCAAGGACTTTGAATAAGGGATTGTGGATGCATGGCAAATTCCTAGCTATTTCTGTCCACTGCCCTGACTTTGTCCCTTAGTTGCGTCACTTGGTCCTCGTGATCACCTGGAGAATTCAGAGAAGCTCCAGCCAGGAACTGTGCCCAGCAGGTGGTGTCTGAGCCACTCCTCACGATTCTGGGAAGATTGAACACTGAGCACTGAGCTGGAGGAGCTGGAGGCAGAGGATCCGCTGGTAGAGGCTCCACCCCCTGGAGCCAAGCCCATTTTTGAGCCCCGTCTCCATATTCCTTGTTCCTCTGACCACAGCTCCTTTCTCCAGGAGCTGACATGGCCCACTTGATGACAACACAGCTGTTGCTCCTGGTGTGGGTGGCCACATGGGGGGCCCAGACCAGTACTACTCGGGCCAGGACCGATCTTCTCAATGTCTGCATGGATGCCAAGCACCACAAGGATAAGCCAAGCCCTGAGGACAAGTTGCATGAGCAGGTGCGCCAATCTGACTCAGGAAGTGCAGGTCAGAAAAAGGAAATGTCGGGCCCCACTAGTAGTGGAGGTGCCTGAGAGACCTTTGCTTGCTCAGCTGTGGACAGCACTTGTTTCACACATGTGGTTGTTTCTAGCTTGCTTAGGTCTTGGTTTTTTAGTAGTAATAAAAACTTTTTAAAAATTTAAACTAAAGCACAAATCTACAAGGGAGAAAAAGCTTTAATTGGAAAGTCAGAGGGAAGATAAGAAAGGACTCCAGCTGGGCATGGTGGTGCATGCCTGTGATCCCAGCACTCGGGAGGCTAAGGCAGGAGGATTGCAGCAAGTTCCAGGCCAGCCTGGGCTACATAGTGAGTTCAAGACTAGCCTGAACTACATAGCTAGACCCTACCTCAAAAAACCAAAAAAGAGAGGACTCCAGTTTAGGTAGCAGGTGGGGGTGCATTCCGGTATAGGGGTTCAGACTGGCAGGAGTCCAGCTTGTATTATTTTGGTCTCACTTGAACTATGTAGCCTCTGATCCTCCAGCCTCAGTCTCCCTACTGCTGGGATTACCGTATGACTGCCACTTGGGTCTGGAAGGCCAGTTTTTAAGGTTTGGCTGATGCACTGGGGTTGGCTTGATCGTTATGTCAGTCCTGATGTCATAGTTAAGAAATTTTTATGGCTGGGGGGATAGGTTCTTGTCCCCAGGGGAGGTCTGTCTGTTGTGGTTTCAGTCATGTGAGGCTCTGCCTTTCCTGGAATCCAGGTGATCACAGGTTTAGAACATTGAAGGGAGACCTCTGGGGACAGTGGAATCCTTAGAAATCCCCCATGCTGGTGTTCTCAATTTTGAATGGGGTGAGAATATGTCAATTCAGGACTAATTAACCTCATTCTGCCAACTTTTAGACACCCCCTACATGATTATCATTGTGTAGAGCTGAAAAGAGATTATTTACAGTAATAAAGAACACAAAATGAAAGTCAGTTTTTTTTCTGCTTTTAGTTGCCCATTGGGCATCTGAAGACTCAGGTGAAGAGTTATAGGTTAGCTGGGCGTGATGGCGAACTCCTGTAATCCCAGCGCTCAGAGGCTGAGGCAGGGGTCACTGAAAATTTGAAGCCAGCTTGGGCTGCCTCGAGAGTTTAAGGCCAGCCTGAACTACATAGTGAGACCCTTTTGCAAACAAAACAAAAAAAGAGTTATGAGACGTGGCAAAAATGGATTTTTTTTGTGTGGGCCTTAGGAGTGCTTTATATTTTCATTTTTTTTATTAGTAAATGCTTGCAGTACATAACTGTTACATTCTTTGTGGGGAGTTGTTATGTGTATATAACACATGTTAATTGTTTTTATGTTCCCCAAAATGGTAGTTTTTGTTTTGTTTTATTTTTTTGAGAGATTCCTTATGTAGTTTAGGCTGGCCTTGAACTCACTGTGTAACCTACTCTGGCCTTGAATTTGAAGTGATCTTCCTGCCTCAGCTTCCCAATTGCTGGGAGGAGACCATAGGTGTGTGCTTTCACGCCTGGCTCACAATGGCTTTTAAATGCCTGGCTGTCCCAGGATAAAAAACAAACCAAGCTTTTAATGAGTAGCAGGTAAGGGCTCAGGAGTTTGCCTGTGTCCCCATCCCTAATAGTGATCCCTGATGATATTATTGTTCTTGTACAAACAAAATGGGCTGTTTACCTACTTCAGAGAAACGTTGTTGACTCTTTAAGTGCCTCTCCAGTTAGTATCTTTTGAGACCCTGAGGTTTTTCCAGCCCCTGACCAATGAATGTTCTCAACATCTTATGGACCCTGGACCCCTATCAGCACACTTAGAGGATGTTATATTCTCTTGACCAAAGTATGACATCACAGTGTGTGTGTATCTTACCTATTAAGAAAACAAAAAGGGCCAGGGATTTAGCTCAGTGGTGCCTGCCTCAAAAGAGCAAGGTCCTGAGTTTGATTCCCACTAACAAAAACAAAAAGAAAAGAAAGAAAGAAAGCAAAAGGGGAAAAAATACCAAATCACATCTTTGCTTTCAAGCAGCCACCAAGAGCCTGTCTCCAGCCATCTATTGACTGACTTTCCACCTGACTCTGTGTCCGGGCCAGTGTGTGTCAGACATCAGTACAGTGCCACTGGCTCACCTTCTTGGCTGCTGGGTATCCAACTTGCACAGATAAGAAAGCAGGTCCAGAGAGGAGCCTGGGAAGTACAGTGAAGAAAATCCATCCTAGAGTCGGAAATGGATTTAGAGGCTTAGATTAGGAAGGGACTCCCTGACCCCAGGAGAAAAGAATCGCTCTGACTATAGTGTCTCCTCTCTGCCAACCTTCCACTGTGTGAGAGAGGTCAGTAGGCATTTGGGTTTTTGTTTTTTTGTTTATTTTTTCCTCAGTACCAGGAATCAAACTCAGGACCTTGTGCTTGCCAGGCACGTGTGCCACTGAGCTACAACCCTGGCCGGTTTATTTTGAGACAGGGCCTCACTGTGTAGTTCAGGTTGGCCTCAAAGTCACGGTTATCCTCCTGCCTCAGTCTTCTGAGTGCTGGGATTACAGGTCTACCAAGTATTTGGACATTTGGGCTGTGGCTCTTGACCTCGCTGCACTTGTGTTTTCTCCCCCCACCTTTTAAGACAAGGTCTCAATTATTTTGCCACAATACCTTTGATATCCTGAATCTAGCTAAACACTTAATAAAGTCTATATAGCCAGGTGTGGTGGCGCAAGCCTGTAATCCCAGCACTCGGGAAGCTAAGGCAGGAGAATCACCAGGAGGTTGAAACCAGCCTGGGCTACACAGTGATTTCAAGGCCAGTGTGAATTATAGAGCAAGACTCTGTCTCAAAAAAACAAAAAGTAAAAGTAAGTCAGCGTGATGTCATAACCTTAAGAAAAAGGAAAAAGGTCAGTCACTTAGGAGGATCGCTTAAATTCCAAGGTTTGAGTATAGTATGGACAACTATTGAGGCCTCCTTCTCAATCAATAAATAAATTTAGCACATAATTTTTAACATGAATTTCAATATGTAAGTGCTCATTTTGAAGGCATCCACAGATAATGATCACAGTTCTAGTTGCTCTTGTTTTGTTTTTTCTTTTGGTACTGGGAATCAAACTTAGGGCTTCACGCTTGCCAGGCAGGTGCTGTGCTGCTGATTTACATCCCTGGTTCCTGCTCTTGTCATCAAGACCACTAGCACCTATCTCAAAAAAAAAAAAAAAGGGTATATAGGAGTTTGGGCCAAGTGATTTCAGCACTCAGGGGGCTGAGGCAGGGAGAATGCCACAAGTTCAAGACCAGCTTTACATAGTGAGACCTTGTCTCAAAAAACAAGACAAAACACCTCAAAAGTGCAAGGTGCTGAGTTGGATCCCCGGTACCAAAAGAAAAAAAAAGAGTACATAGGAGCTTAGTAAAGATGTGAATTAATGAATTTTGTAAGCTCCTTCTGGGCTTTCTTAGCCGCTGAGAGCCCCCTTCTCGAAAGGCAGCTCCTACTGCAAGTATTTCCCTGAGGAGCTTTGGCTGAAAGAGGGAGGCTGCGTGTGGGATTCTGGTGTGGACTCAGCCCTGTGTCTTGTCCCATGCAGTGCAGTCCCTGGAAGAAGAACTCTTGCTGTTCTGCCAACACCAGCCAGGAAGCCCATAAGAATATTTCCAACTTGTACAGATTCAACTGGGACCACTGTGGGGAGATGGAGCCCGCCTGCAAGCGGCACTTCATCCAGGACACGTGCCTCTATGAGTGCTCCCCCAACTTGGGGCCCTGGATCCAACAGGTAGGAGAGTGCTCCTGGGACCCCCAAACCAGCAGAGCTGCTGGGCTTTCCCAACATCTCTGTGGGCTGCACCTCCAGCTCCAGCTCTTTTGAGGGCTGAAGTGCTGAGGTTCTTCCACACAAGCCCTTCTTCTCCCAAACCTCCCAGGTGGACCAAAGCTGGCGCAAAGAGCGGATCCTCGATGTGCCACTGTGCAAGGAGGACTGCCAGCGCTGGTGGGAGGACTGCAAGACCTCCCTGACCTGCAAATCCAACTGGCACAAGGGCTGGAACTGGGAAAAAGGTGAGGGCTGGGATGGGGCAGGGGAAGGGAAACAGTTGTGGGGCTGCAGGGCTGGCAGAGCTAGAGATTATTTGAGAACCAATCGCTCAAGGTCTTCATCACTCCTACAGGGTATAACAAGTGCCCCACGGATGCTGCCTGCCACCCCTTCCCCTTCTACTTCCCCACACCTGCTGACCTGTGCCAGGAAATCTGGAGTCACTCCTACAAAGTCAGCAACTACAGCCGAGGGAGTGGCCGCTGCATCCAGATGTGGTTTGACCCAGCCCAGGGCAACCCCAATGAGGAGGTGGCCAGGTTCTATGCTGAGGCCATGAGTTCAGTTGGGCTCGGTGGGGCCGGACCTCTCCTGATCAGCCTGGCCCCTGTGCTGCTCTGGCTGCTCCAGTGAGCTCCTTTTATCATCTGATACCTGGGCATCCCTACCCTGCTGAGCAAATTCAGTTCCTACTCCACGGTGGGGCCTTGGGCAGCCATTTAAATAAACCAGGCATTCTATATGTGTCTTGTGCATGGTTTGGACATGAGTGGAAATGTTTATTTTGCTTTTTTATTCCATTAAAACTAATTATAGACATGGTCAGTTCCTAGCTCTGACACTTACTGTGAACTAGACAGACCTTTAACTATTCTTCTTAGGACCCTTTCATAGCTCTCAATTTGCTTTTTCTTTTCTTTTCCCCCCAGACAGGGTCTTGCTATATAGGTCAGGCCTCCTTGAACTCACTGTGTAGCCCAGCATGGTGGCAATACTCCTGCCTCAGCCTCCCAGGTACTAGGATTCCTGGTGTGTACCATCACTGGCGGCAATTTCTTCCTTCTTCCTTCTCCCTCTCCCTCTCCCTCTCCCTCTCCTTTTTCTTCTCCTTCCTTCTTTTTTTTTTTTTTACTATAGCTGCAATTTAGAGCCAAGCCCAGGATTTAACCATTTCAATTGTCCCCCACTCTGTGCTGTGGTCAGCTCTTAATGGAAGAGCTGGGAATGGGAAAGCCCAGTGTGTTCTGAATGGACAGCTAGGAAGAGGGTAGGGGGCCAGAAAGAGTTAATGTTGACACAGTACAGTAGTACAGTATTTCAGGCACTACCCGGCTTTTTTTGTTGTTGTTTTTTGTACTGGGGATCAAACTCGGGCCCTTGCGTTTGCAAGGCAAGCTGTGAAATCACTGAGCTAAATCCCCAGCCTTACCCTGAATTCTTGTCTGCATTTTATATAGGTGGAAAGGAGAATGGATCCATGCCTGACCGGAAGAGCTAGAACCCAAACTTAGACTAAGAGCACACTGCAAACCAATCATCTGCAAAGTTTCCAAGCAGAGTTCCCCCATTAAGGAAGGTCTGCAGCAGTTGTGATAAGTGTCTTTATTAGGTCTGATGAAAAATACTGTGCATGCTGGTGAAGGTGCCCTCCGGTAGAGAGGCAGGCTGGTAAAACAGTGTTCTCATCCACATTGTCCACCAGATTTGGCACTGTGTGAGTTCTGGCTCTTCCCCAAAGTCAAAAGGACCATGAAATAAATTTTGAATCAAACCAGTATATCAAGGCAGCCACAACAGTGTGACTAAAGACACTCAGGAAAGAGGACTTCCACAAAATGACAAGGATGATGAGATAAGTGTGTTCAAAGCAAGGGAATATTTTGAGAGGGATTAATGGCAATATGTCTTTTTTGTTGTTGTTGTTGTTGTTTTGAGACAGGGTCTCACAATGTAGTTGAGACGGACCTGGAACTCACTATGTAGTCCAGGCTGGTCTCGAACTCACAGCGATCCTTCTGCCTCAGCCTCCCGAGTGCTGGGATTACAGTTGTATACCACCATATCCGGCTGTTGGCAGTGTGTCTTTTACTCTAATAATTTTTTTTTTCATTTTTGGCACCAGGGATTGAACTTGGGACCTTGAGGTTGCAAGGCAGGCAGCAGTACCACTGAACTAAATCTCTGGCCCAAATATTTTTTTTTTCTTTGAGACAGGATCTTGCTTTGTAGTCCAGGCTGGCTTTGAACTCGTAGTGATCTTCCTACCTCAGCCTCTTGAATGCTGAGATTACAGGCATGCACCATCATTCCCAGCTAATAATTTTTTAAAAGTAGAGGGCCAGGATTTGGCTTAGTGGTTCTGCCGCCTGCCTCGCAAGCACAAGGGCCTGAGTTCAATCCCTGGTACCAAAAAAAAAAGAGATATCTACCCTGTCACCCCCCCGGATCAAACTCAGGACCTTGCACTTACCAGGCAGGCATGGCACCACTGAGCTATATCCCCAGCTCTTATCCACCATCTTTTATTTTTTGTTTTTTTGCCGTAGGGTCTCTCTATGAAGTTCAGGCTGGACTTAAACTTACTATATAGCCCAGGCTGGTAAGCCTCCTGCCTCAGCCTCCTGAGCCCTGGGATTAGAGGCATGCCCCACCAAGCCCAGCAACATCCACCATATTTTTCTATCATATCTAATAGGTTAATGGGATAGAATTGAGAGTTTAGAAACATTTTGGGGCTGGGCTATAATTCAGCAGCACAGAGCCTGCCTGACAAATGGGGAGACCTGAGTTTGATTCCTGGTACCAAAATAAATAAATAAATAAATAAATAAATAAGCAATACTTTGTAGTCAATTGATTTTTTTTTTTTTTTTTTTTTGCTTTGCTCTGTCGAAGCTTGTATCACAGGCCTTGATGCATGCTAAGCAAGTTCACTACCACTGAGCTCATCCCCAACTCATAAAGTTAACTTGAATTTTGAAAAAGATGGTCTGTTCAACAAAAGGTGGAGGACAATCATTTATCTACATGCAGCCCGTGTGATAGCATATACCTGTAATCCTAGCACTCAGGAGGCAGAGGCAGGAGGATTGCCACAGAGGCCACCCTGGGCTACATAGTGAGTTCAGGACCAGCCTGAACTACAAAGCAAGACCCTATCTCAACGAAAACAAAAACAAAAGCACATGCAAAAAGATGAACCCAGACCCTCACCTCACATCATACACAAAAAATAACTCAGGATGGACAATCAATTTAAAGTATAAATAAAATAGCATTTTTATTATTGTTTTTGAGAAAGGGTCTCTCTATGTAGTTTGGGCTGGCCTTGAATTCACTATGGAACCCAGGCTGGCCTCACACTCAGCCATCTTCCTGCCTCACCCTTCTGAGTGCTAGGATTACAGGCGTGCACCACTACACCTGACTCTACAGTATTTTTATAAAAAAAGAGAACAACTTCCAGACCCTATGTTAGGCAAGAATTTCTTAGATTAAAATTTCCAGGCTGGGGATTTAGCTCAGTGGTTCTGCTGCCTGCCTTGCAAGTGCAATGTCCCAAGATTGATTCCCAGTACCGAAAAACCAAAAAAGTTCTGCCTGTTAGGCGTGCACCACTACACCTGACTCTACAGTATTTTTATAAAAAAAGAGAACAACTTCCAGACCCTATGTTAGGCAAGAATTTCTTAGATTAAAATTTCCAGGCTGGGGATTTAGCTCAGTGGTTCTGCTGCCTGCCTTGCAAGTGCAATGTCCCAAGATTGATTCCCAGTACCGAAAAACCAAAAAAGTTCTGCCTGTTTTATTGCACTTTATTGTTTGTTTTTTGATATAAGGGTGTATGTATGTAGTTTAGGCCTCAGCCTAACAAAAGCTGGGATTGCAAGTGTGAGCCACCATGCCAGGCAACTTTTGCACTTTAAAAGATACCAGTAAGGCCCACCATGTGAGCCTATAATCCCAACACTCATGAGGCTGAGGCAGGAAGATCACCTCTAGTTCAAGGCCAGCCTTAGCTACACAGTGAGTTCAAGACCAGCCAGAACTACACAGTGAGAAAGACTGTTACTGAAAAAAAAAAAAAAAAGCTGGACATGGTGGCACACTCCTGTAATCCCAGCCCTGGGGAGGCTGAGGCAGGATCGCTGTGAGTTGGAGGCCATCCTGGGCTACATAGTGAGTTCAAGGCCAGGCTGAATTATATACTAGGAAAGACCCTGTCTCCAAAACAAAACAACAAAAAATGAAATGTGAATCTGCCATATAACCCAGCAATCTTACTTCAAAGTATCTACTCAAGAAAAATATCCACCATAGCAAGGCTTTTTTGTCTATTTGTTTGTTTATTTGTTTACATAGTCCAGGATGGCCTTGAACTCACCATGTGGCCCAGGCTAGATTCCTCCTACCACAGTCTCCCGAGTGCTCAGATTACAGACATGCAGCTCCATGCCCAGCCATCAAAACAAGTCTTGTACATGAATTTGTGATCCTCCTGCCTCACCCTCCCAAAGTGCTGGGATTACACATATTCACCATCATGCCTAGCTCCACCATGAACTTTTTTTTTTTTTTTTTTTTTTTTTTGGTACCAGGGATCAAACTGGGGTCCTTGTGCTTATGAAGCAGGGGCCGAACCACTGAGCTAAATCCCTAGCCCTCCACCATGAACTTTAAGAGACTACTTGGAAGAAGATGGCAATCAAAGAAAAGTTTCTTCTTGGTATAGAAGTAAATAATGCCAGTAAGATGACTGAGGGGAGTGGCCCACTGACTGAGGATTTCTTTTTTAAAGAGATTGTTTATTTCATTTGGCACAAGTATGGTCTGCTAAATTGAGGGTTGGAGACCAGAGCAGAGGGTGGGAGGGAGAAAAAGGGCTGTATCGTATGACTAATCAAAAAAAGAACATGAAGTACAGTACCCGAAATACCAAGACAATAACCACAGTCTTATCGCCTTCATTAACTTGACTCATTCCTTTACAATTACTTCTTAATACATTTTCTTGGGTAAGCATCTCCTTCCATAGAAATCTGCCTGTAGGCTGGAATTTTTCTGGAAATCTGAGTCTCCACACTTCACTAGATTGACTCATCCAGCTGTCAGTGCTGAGTGGTGATGTCAAATGTGTGAGTCTGCCTCCTGTCAGCAAATAGGGCAAACACTAGGAGAAAGTAGAAGCCACCCGGAGACAGTCTCAAGTGATCCGATCGATCTCTCGATTTTCGTTATTGGAATAAAAGCAGAATTTTCACTTGGATGTAATCTGTAACAGTATAATTCTACTAGTGACTGTTTTGTTTCCTAAGGTCTCAGTTAATGGCTACTTTGAGGAGGACATATTATTAGAAACTGGAGAAGGAGAAAGAGATAGGGAGAGTTAGTCTTTTCCGCCAATTTAACCAAGTTCTTTTTTCTTTTTCTTTCTTTTTTAAAAAATTTTATTTTGCAGTGCTGGGGGTTGAACCCAGAGCCTTTGCACATGCTAGGTAAATGCTCTTCTGTTGAGCTGCACCCTCAGCTCCATCAGTTTGTTTTTATTTATTTACGTATTTATTTTTGGTACCTGGAATCGAACTCAGGACCTTGTGCATGCAAGCCAGGCGTGGTGCCACTGAGCTAAATCCTCAGCTCCATCAATTTGCTTTTATTAATTCCATTATTGTATTTGTCTAAGCTCTATTAGTGATGCAGATGGTGAAAATATTTATATCTTAATTCTCTGTCATTTCCT